ATCTCTGTTCCTCTATTTACTATGTTTGATCCGTTTCTAGTTATATCTCTGTTCCTCTATTTACTATGTTTGATCCGTTTCTAGTTATATCTCTGTTCCTCTATTTACTATGTTTGATCCGTTTCTAGTTATATCTCTGTTCCTCTATTTACTATGTTTGATCCGTTTCTAGTTATATCTCTGTTACTCTATTTACTATGTTTGATCCGTTTCTAGTTATATCTCTGTTCCTCTATTTACTATGACTGTCAATAATTTATTCTTCTCAATTTACTAACGTAATTGTTTACCTATACTGTTGCCTGGCAAACCTACATATTTACTGGCACTGCCGGGAATGTACATTGTACAATTATCAAGAACATTCTTTATCTATAAAAACTAATTCTTTTATAGATATTCTGCTCGTGGCAGATCCATTGTTATGGTTCTAGAGAATTGAGCACACTTGCAATTGTGTTATAATTCTTTTCTTCCTACCATTCTTAACTATGAACTATTGAACATGTGAGTGACTACTTAAAAACATTATGTACGCACACAAATAGCATTAAATCAAAGGAGACAACGTTTAGCAAGCTTGTCCATATTAGAGTACGAAGGGGGAGGCCCGGGTCTATGTATGGTAACAAATTTGGATGAAAAGGTTTATAGAGGGTGACATTTTATAGATACTTTATTTTGCACAAAAAAGTATTCTTTTTTTAACCTTTAATATGTATGATCTATGGATGGGTTATATACACTGCATGTTTTATCAGAATTGCATTTCAATTGTACATTGAAGACAAGTTTGTGAGTCTCTATATGAAGTTTGTATATTACTCTATATTCAAACGAATTTACCCTTTCTAACCTCTACACACGACTCTTTATCTTACCCAATTACACTTCCCGTATCAGCTGTACAGGGGGGAGGGGGGAACTCCTGACATCTCTCCTCCCCGACCAGCTGTACAGGGGGTAGGGGGCTCATGACATCTCTCCTTCCCGACCAGCTGTGCAGGAGGGGAGGGGGGAGCTCCTGACATCTCTCATCCCCGACCAGCTGTACAGGGGGGGGGGGTAGGGGGCTCATGACGTCTCTCCTCCCAAACCGTTTGGTCAGCTATAGATACCATATATATTTGAAATCTACAAATATACATATATGCGAATAAGCGAATTTATATATAAGCGAAGAGCTTTATTACATATATATATAAACATGTAGTCCTTTCATTTAAACTTGCTATAATTTTGAACCCTATGTATCTAAGAATGAATGAAATTCCCGGCGTTGCCCATGAAATTAAAAATAGTTTTTATAACCCCATGGGCACCCAATGAATCTATGTAAAAAAAAAGTTTCTGGAAAAAACCTGGAAATAAAAACTTTGGAAAAAACGTCCGAATTTTCTCAAGTCCTTGGAAAAAATGTCGCTGGAAATAAAGTCCTGTGTTTTGGATTCCTGAGACTTTTTTCCCATCGTTATCTAGTATAATAGGACTTTATTCCAGGGATGTTTTTGAATACCGGAGGCAGAAAAAAAGTCCTAGAAAATTGATAGGACTTTATATCCGGAGACTTTTTTATAAAAGGACTTTTTTCCACATGACATTTTCAGTGTGAAATATTAGGACTTTTTCCGGAAACTTCTTTTCTTAGAACTTTTTTGGCGGTTACCGTACCCAATACCCATAGCTTCCCTCAAAAAGTTTCAACTAATTTGGTTCCGCCGTTTGGTCTGTTATAACAAACATAAATATATATATATGCCTGAGCAAAGAAGTTTAACTTACGTTCACTAATTTGGATAATTTCATGATAAAATAAATAGCCTAGTAGCTATTCATTGGTATTAGTCTTACTTTTCAAAGATATCTATGGCTACAGAAATAGCCGATTTACCGTTCAGAATTCCAGCGCAAAGGTACATGACCTTTGCATAGACACTATTTAAACGTTTTTTTTTCAGTAACAACAAAACAACCTAATAAAATCTCAAATTATTAATATTTATCATGTGTCTGCCATTTTATAATAAAATATAAAAACTTTTGATTTTGGAATTGGCAAGAAATTAACGTTTTTCGTGTTCTACCGTGATTCAGCAAGTTTATTCAAAGACAACCTTTCTCTCCGTCAAACTCGGGGATTTCTGGGGAATTAGGCAAAACGTATTAATCCGTCAAATGTTTAAAATAAGTTGTATGTTGGTCTTTGGAAATAGTCTGAAAAGACAATTTTTAAATAACATTAAATACTATTGGTATATTCCTAGAGAACGATTTTTGGACCCCCCCAGCCCCCCCCCCTCCTATCAATTTTGTACATAAATCTCACAGAAAGTGTATCAACTTAACCTAACCCGTGGCCGCAGCGCAGCGCAGGGATTCATTTTTTGTAATTTGTAGTTTAACACTAAACGGCTTGAGGGTTTGAATCTATGAATCAAATTAGACTGCGTCAATGGGTCTAAACTACNAAATTGATAGGGGGGGGGGGCCTGGGGGGGTCCAAAAATCGTTCACTATAGGACAGACCCATACTATTAACTATTAGATACAACATTTAAATTTAATATTTGAAAAAATTTTAAAATCCAAAATTTAATATTTGAATTTTTTTTAAAATCATGACCATGACTTAAAACACCAAACAATGCGTTGGAATTCTGAACGAAAAATCGGCTATTTAGTTTACTCTCAAATTACCCAAATAACTAAACTGTTCGTTAAAATTTCCTTAATTACAAGTATATTTATAAAAATATTTCTTCTTTTTATATTTACATAATGTTCCATTTTTTCAATACAATACTATTTAAACATTAATTGGCAACGTCATATCTGAACTGGCAGCCATATGTATTTACAGTGATGATATCTGCAGGTTGCTAACCAAATATTTGTGCGGTTTTTGCATTAAAGCCACAGTAACAGTTATGGGAATCACGTTCTAAAACACACGCATCAATCTGGCTAATTTTAACATGTTCACTCTTTTTTTAAATATAAGTCTAACCCTGGTTAGTTTCTAAAAAAATTAATAAATGTGAAGTGTTTTTCCCTCGTGTGTTGAACTGTTAACACCTAACCTCGTCATTTTTATTCCTAAACGAATGTTTCTCAAATCATTCTGTAGAATCCTTGACGAGTTCGCTGTATAGAGTTTATTATAACGGAGACAAGGAGTAATGTATAAGGTTTGTGTTTAGAAAAGAGAGGTGGTGGAGGGAGGGAGGGATTTCAATCAAGTCTTGGTTGTGACGGCATTAATGAAACAAAAATCATGTCGATCGAAGTAACTTAAAGAAAATATTACTATATATTACTTTTTACCCAATTGCAATGGTATAGAGAAGATATCTGAGGTTGTTTAAGCTCATGTCAAATCATTTTTTTTATTAAAAACCTTAAACAAAGCAAAATTAAAACATATTTTCTATATGTATGGTATAATAATGTTTTTTTAAATCCTGATTTTGTTCATACATTCGAAAAGTTTTTTTTACGCATATCCAAAGGCCTCTGCAGGGTTTACAACTTTGTGTTGTAATGTCAGAATTAAATTTCATTGCTAACATTGCAGGTAAATTTTGTACCATATGGTGCCGAAATTTTTCCAGATGCTTTTTTAATTCATTCGCATCTTTTCAAATTGTCTGTACAACATACTACGAGACCTTTCACTGACCTTTTAGTTCTAATAAAAAATATAAACTTTCGGATAAACAGATCTATATTATTGTAATATCGAGGAAAGTGCATATTTCAATTCAATGCAAGCCAAGCTCTCACGAATATAACGCATAGAAAATAGTTTATTAGATTTTTGAATATAGCATATAAAATATCCTTTTTTTGACCTTAAATATCAAACTCAATATGTTATTGTAAATTATTTTATTTATTGCTCTGTTTAAACTGCACAACATTAAAGTGAAGATTCATTGATATTAAAACTTTTTTAAGAATTTGGGTTAAGTCATTTTCAAATTTTCAGAAAATGAGAAATGACATGTGACAAGTTTTAATATTTTATCATTTTATTGCGCTTAATCTATCCATCATATTTATTTTCTGATAATATAAACGTGGGAACAAGACAAAAATAAGATGCATTTCTACCTTATCGACAAACTTTTTCCCTGGAAACTTTGATTTTCTAATCTTATTTCTTAGTATCCTGATGATGTAAACCTTTCCCATTGAAAACTTAGAAAAGAGTTAATAAAAAAGTGTTGCAAGTAATCTATTTCTTTGATAATTTCTAGAACAAAATATAGCGCTACTTTACGTTTGCTTGAAAAGCATACCATCGTTATGAAACCGCAAACTGCTGGCTTCACAGAGGAGTAGAAAATACTTGAATAAATAAATAAATAAATTTTCCAAACAGATAGACGATGAAAAATGTTAATTTTACAGAATACACAATTTTCTGAGTGGATATCTGAAAATTTTCACAAAAAAACCTGACCTGGGAACTCTTGCATTGTGGATATCGAGATCAATACTTGATTTTAATCTTTGATCAAGAGTGGAGGAATAATTTAAATAAAATGCATTGATCTTCAAATTAAAAGTGCCCAGAGTGAATATAGTGATCAAAGGACCGAAATTATGATTATCCAACACAAATGTTCCCAGCTCTGGCCCGGTTTCCTCTTCATTAAATTATCATCACGTTTAAAATCTGCATTACAAAGATGTTGTGAAACACTTAGATTCAAAAGTTTCAAGCTAAAAGAAGATAAAACCGTGAATTTTCTAGGGGAGAGATCCCTTTCTTGACTGGCCCCCATAAACCACCTTTGTTGGTTCAAGGAAGATATAAATATGTCTTAAACAAACGTTTTTACTCCTCAACCTTTGTCAGGTTTTTTACTTGACAAGACTTTAAATATAAAGGTTCAGTGATAACTTGACACTTGAACCAACCCCTCTCCAGGTTTGGTAGTGTACTGATAGAATCTAACCTTTCAAACAATCAATCATTGAAAAATAATAATAAGCAGAGTTGTCACACAGGTATATTCTTCATGAAAAAAAAACATTTTTAAATTAAAATTAACCTCGAAATGACTTGATCATAACTGATTCACAAAGTGTTAGTTGGTATTATTGTTTCATCTGGTACGGGAAATGTCCGTTGAGACTTCTTTTCTGTGGTGGTCGTTGTAGAAATATCGGGTAAAATTGTTGCAAAGGGGCATTTTTTAGCATCACTTTGTCCCTCCTGAGTACAATTTGAATGATCTTTAGTCCATTTTTGTTCATTCGGTGATATATTAGAATTAGATAATGAAAAAGATGAATCAGTTTCAAGTAATTTTTCTCCTATCCCCGTCTGATGATAGAATCTCCAAGTATTTCTCCAGAGTACGATCCAAACTCCGAGAAGTAACCCTGCAATAACAGGGAACACTATTGCAACCAATATGTCAACAAAGAAGGAAATAAATGTGAAACTAATAAAAATGAGGATGAGGATGACCACTAGAATGATATCCGTAACCATCCATGGAATAAGAAGATTGAGATCACTTCGTTTTGCCCCAATGATGAGAAGGATGGTTGTACATAAATGAATACAACAGGCAGAGAGTATTCCTGCTAGAATTTCTGTCTGATTCTCATCCATCCAATCCAGCCAACTCCATATACTCTGGGATACAGTTGCATCCCAATGATTCTCCGCTAACCAGAGATTGATCCAGCTACGTAGAAGACTCCATCCTTGATCACGAACTAAGCAATATATAGCCGGTATACAAACAGACAAGCAACCAGTCAGCGATAGGGCGCCGGTCAAATATAGACCTCGGCGGCCAGCAAACCTGGCGCAGAAACCAGTCACAGCCATTCGCATTCTTTAGAAAATCCAAAAATAAAAAATAAATCTTAAGCACTGGGATAAATCTTTTGATAAATTTTGACTATGACAAGAGCAAAAAATTATTGAAAAATTGTTAACAATAAACAATCAAAAAGACTGAAATTTTAATTAAATGCACATATAATACTTTTTTTAATAAATATATTTTATTAATAAGCAATTGTTATTTATTCATGTAAGTAATAAATTATTTAATATGATGGATTTTCCTAAGTTCCGAATTTAAATTCTATCCGAACTGTTTCCCACTCAACCATTTTAACCGTACTGAGATCTACGCAACGAATATTTCTGTTTTAAAACTGCAGATGGTTGAGACACTTGATTCCGTTGGTTTAAGTCGGGCCTGTACAAGGAGAATTCAGTCTAGGACGGACTGATACTACACAGCATACATCCGCCTTGGAAAGCAATTCTGGTTTAAACGGGAAAGATGATGAAAATTCATATAAAAAAATTAATAAATCAAGGAAAAGGGTCAAAATTTAAACAAAAAATTTGTCTGTACAACCATTTACATAACTGATGAAGTTGAGGTAGTATTTATAGCTTGCCAAATCTTTAACGTAAAGTTGGCAGCCAAACTAGGTACTCAGGTTGCCACAAATTAATGTGACAAATGTAACAAAAAAGGTTTTAGAGTCGTGTATTAAGAATAGAAACATTTTTCAGGGTATGTGATTTTATGATTAAAAATGGGTGTTGGACGCGGTTTCAGACGTACATCACTACACAATACGCATCATACGCAATCGTGATCGGAGACTGAGCTTGAAACTACGATTATTTATTTCTGGTTTTAATTCTTTCTTTAAAAACTTCTTTACCTAATTAACTCCAAGAACAACTAGGTCGGTTGTTCAAACATTGGCTGTTCTTATGGCATTGAGTATTTGTGGTGTACATGAGTTCTGTAGAGAGAAATTTAAGTTAGTTTAGTCCTTCTCATGTCCTTCTTCAGTTCTCGTCAAAATGATATATTGCTCAGTGAAATATTGTTTTTCAAATAATTCCATTCCCGGAGTTATTTTACACTCTATTATGAAATCCATTAAAATACCAAAACACCCCGCTTATCATTGAAGTACACTTTGACCTCTAGAAGTATGAGTTCGCGGACTTTACAATTCTTGGTGATTTTGCGTACATAAGCTATCTATGTTTATTTATTTATCTATGGTTTTGATCCATTTGATTGAGGCCAGGCATGTTTTACTGTAGTTAGTCTAGCGTGAAGTATCCCCAAACCTTGAATTCAAGATGGAAGAAGATCAAAACCTGGACAAAATTTTTCACATGACAGATGGGAATTTAGATAAGGTCAATGTACTCAACAAGTATTGTGCCTTTTTCAACTAAAAAACTGAGAAAGGAATTCACACTAAAAGTTTTGATTATTTTATTTGTTCTTAGGAACATCTTTACACCGTAAAATAGATTTAGTTAATCCCAAAAATTGATAATATCTATTTAATGGCTCTCTAACCCCCCCACCCCTCCCCTCGTATTCCAAACATACAGACAAGTTTTTGTTAGAAACACCTTCCTTTATGCTAAGCTAACACATCATCCTGCAGAATGATAAGAAATGATGAAATGTGACAAAGGAATGTTGCAATGTTGCATACGTGCTAATTTAATGCTTTTCTTAGTGTTCGTTTGTATGTTCGTCAATAGTCAATATTTGATTATTTATAGATCTTTAGAGAAGAAATATGTTAATCTATATAAACATTTCGGTTTTCTGTCTCTCTGTATGTGCCCAATAGAACGGCAAAAAAGGATGAGCCGAGTAGGCCAACATTTTTTGTTGAAACTCATATGACCCAAGTGGGGAGTTATGGACGCTTAAACATGAACAATGTTGCCTGGAAAAAAATCGTTTTTCAATCTTTTTAGAAATTTTTCAATTTCACCAAAAAACCCACAAAATTTTAAGTTTAATATAAGAGAGTATGTAGTAATTTTATCATTAAATCAATCAACATTAATAGGGTCTCTTTTGTATTTAGAGTTTAGAAAATACCCTACTCCATAAACTGCTCTCGAACCCATATCTATGCAGTATTATAGAGAAAAATGTTAGGATGCATCATTCATTTGTTCTTACTTTATTCTACATCTCATTGGTATTAAATGAATACCTAATTTTTTTCTTTATGATACTGCACTCTTGGTTAACTAAGCTTTCTCTCCTTAACTTAAGTTTTACCTAGATAAGAACCTTTAACTTATTTCCATGGTTATAAACTTGCTCTAGCCGGGGAATTTAAAAGATGGATCTGGGCGGTCTCTTTAAAGAGTTTCCAGGATAAATTCCAAAAGTTCAACAATGCAGAAAATCTTCAGCAAAAATTTAAATAGTTTGAAATCCACACTTTGGTCAATGGGGATTTTTTTCTTAATTTAAAAAAAAATAAACTTCAAGGACGTTAAAAAATAGGCAGTTCTGATGCAAGAAAACGAGGAGAAAGTAAATCACGTGAACGAGCATGCCATTTTGTTATGTAATGTAATGCGGATAAAAAAAAATAGAAGATATCTCTATGATCCTGACGTTATATTCATATGTATGCCATAGATTATAATCGTTATGAACATAATAACAAAAATCTCTTTGAACATAACTTAAACGTACCTCTAACCACCTTTTATTGTGCCATTTCACCCTCATATTTAATTCCTCCTTCTAACGTGATACTACCCTGCCCTCTTGAAAGAGAAGATTAGGATTATATTCTTATCTTTGATTGATCACTTGTTGAGCAATTTGATAATTCTGTTCTGACAAATCTATACCCTGTAATGGTATCATGATACCCTCTCTATGTTGATAGATTAAGGAATGGTTGGAGGGGGTTGGAGTTGAGGGTCTGGGAGGGTGAGTAATCTTTTAGATTGGAGGTAACCCCCAATTGCTTATTAAATGACTAGAAATTCATTTTTTTTATCGAATTCAATTTGAAAACAATAAATGTGTAAATATTATTACATCTTTTTTGTTAAATTTATAAGTTTTATTGATTATGCAAAAAGCGTGAAATGTGTTAATTGGTAGAATTCTAGAGCGTGCACTACCTACCTTAATTTATAGAAACCAACAAGGTTAAATTTCTCATCCATGACATTGGAAATTTTCTAAATGAAAAGTGTAATACTTAATTTAATTGAATGAGTTTTACTATTGCAAGATTTATTCTGTGTCGCTTTTTATATTTTCTTTAAGTTCGAAATATTATTTTTTAAAGTATTTTTGGCATCCTGTCTTGAACATATGATACTTTCGTCATCAGAGTTAGGTACTTTACTCTAATAATTTTGTTTTTAAATTCAGTGAACAGTAATTTAGTATTTTTGTGGCATATACAGTAATCTTTGTAACATGATTAGAGTTTAAATTCGATATAATAAAAACTGTTGAGCAAATGAGAATAATAACCAAATAATTATCTGCTGCCTAGCGTTCCATTTTAATATCATTTAAATTAAAAATAAATATTTATTTATCCTTGTACATGGTCTGAAGATTGCTGTTGAAAGGAACAAAATGTTGATACAAGAAAAATTAAAATTAGAATTTTGTGCTGAGAACTTTTATTCTTTTCAGTTAATTGTAAATCACTAGAAGGTACAATACTAGACTTTTAGGGCGCTTTGCGGCCATCTTCTATTATAATTATATTTGCGGCCATCTTCTATTATAATTATAATTATATTTGCGGCCATCTTCTATTATAATTATATTTGCAGCCATCTTCTATTATAATTATATTTGTGGCCATCTTCTATTATAATTATATTTGCGGCCATCTTCTATTATAATTATATTTGCGGCCATCTTCTATTATAATTCTTCTATTATAATTATATTTGCAGCCATCTTCTATTATAATTATATTTGTGGCCATCTTCTATTATAATTATATTTGCGGCCATCTTCTATTATAATTATATTTGCGGCCATCTTCTATTATAATTGTGAACATCTTCTATTATAATTGTGAACATTTTCCTTTTCTACATCATTGTAAAACAAAAAACAAAATAAAGTTAGCCGATTTTACAAAAAAATTCGTGGATTTTTTAAATTTAATGCAAATCTAATTTTGTTGGAGGACAATTTTTGAAATTTTGATCATCTATAACGCTTCCCCGGGGGCATGTGAAGTTCGATACAAAAGGAATTGAGTTTTTGCCACAAACTCGGATTTTTAAATCCCAATTTCTTTAAAACCAAATGTCGTAGACCGTAGATGAATTCTGTTTTATGAAACAATGTAAGCTTAAAATATGAGATTTAGGTATTATAAAATTGGCATTTGTGGCAAAAACTCAATTCCTTTGGGCCCGATCGGTTCAGATGTTCTGACGTTTATTGGACACAAACAAACAAACAGACAATCTGACAAGCAAGGTATATATATATAGATAAATGTACATATTGATTGTAAACTTAGACAAATTAGTTCACGCAATCTGTAACGTTAAAACGGAAACTTCAATCAATCTTATGAATTTGAAGATATGATAATCAAAATCAGATAATAACATCAAATAAAATAAAAATATTAAAGCAAATGTAATAAACAGAAAAATTAAACATGAAAAATATTTTGTCACGGAAATGGACCTTTAGTGCTTTCAGTGTTCGAATTAAATGAATTTGAGCCGCGTCTTAAATCCGCTAAAAACCGGTTTCAATTGAGCGCCGGCTTTAAATCTTGAAACATTGAATACAATTTTAAGTGGAACCAACCATATTTGAGCCGCGGCTTAAATTTAAGCCGCCGCTTAAATTCTTTAAATTCGGCCACTGGTTACATAAATAAAAGCTGGATCTTCTTAAAACGACTTTATACGCACAGAATTCCGACGCGTTTTTGGTATCTGTTTTTGTTTATATGTGATGAAAAAAAAAACCAAAATAGTATAGCTTTAGAACTGAGGCACAAATCATCTTTCTACAGTTCAGTAAAATTCGTTTAGGTTGATTTCTCGAAATTATGTTGAGTTGTAACTACGCCTTTGTTGTTCCTGTAGCATTTAGGACAGTAAACCAACTCTCCATCAGCGACCTAGACAACAAAAATAACATAACATAGAATGTAATTATCCAAAATAATTCAACAATTTTAATGTATTGTGCACAATTGCACATGTTTATATATTTTTATTATTTAGGGAAAAAGCAGCAAAGTAATTCCAAATACATGCATATTTATCTTAAGATTTTATAGCTGAAGACAAAAAAGTGCAAATAATACTTTTCAGTATTTATAAAATAAACATAGTGACCACTCCTTTGCACAAACAAATATCTATAAAATAATATAATTTTATCAGTGGACAAACCTCATTTATTAGCTGAGAGTTTAGAGTTCTTGAACAAGTTTGGCAGATTAGGCAAGTTTTATGCCAAACTTTTCTTCCAACAAATACACGCTCTGGAGCATACACTGCTCGATAACACTTGGGACATCTAAATATATGAAGAAAAATAACATTAATTTTTAAACTTAATTTGTGAGTGACATTTTTTTAAAACGTAGTTTTTGCTAAGCGACTCTTTTATAGATGAAAATTGATTATTTAAACTTTTTGTAAAAGGTACTTTGTTGTTTGTTCTGTATATTTAAATTGTTTTGCTTAAAATTAACAGTATTTCTTTTTGTTTTTTTTCTGTTGAAAAGTTAGCAGCACTATTTAGTTTAATTTGTCTTACTTTGGTGACAGTGAAACACTTTCTGTTTCCAAAACTGAAGATGTTTCTCGAGGCCCAATAGAATCATTCCTAACAGAAAAAGATGAATAGAAATAAATAGTTCCTAACATATTAACAAATTTTATATTTTATTCGTAAAAAAACAAAGGGTGGGGTGATGGACTGCTGCCCTTCCCCCCCCCCCAGAACCGTATATATTTAGTACACAATTTGGCAAAGAGATGGACACATGTCTTAATTTTAGAGGGAAAGGAATTGAGTCTTTGCCACAAATTCAAAATTTCTAATCTAAGGTCCGCGACATTGGGTTGCAGAGAGAAAATAAGAGTTTGTGGCAAAGACTCAATTCCTTTCATCATTTTTTCTCGATTTCATAATTCATCTGGTCGTGGGAGTACTTATTTTCTTCCAGAAATCATAAAAAGGACGTTCTACATTACAGATCTAGCTTTAAAGCAATCTAATTCCATTTTCAATCACGCACAAACAAACAAATAAAATGTATAAAAGAAAACAGGAACCCCTTTTTAAAATTCATAATTTTAATATTTTCCCCAACGATAAAATGGGTATAAAAACGCAATGCCCACTATAAGTTCTATTTTACCTTGATTTTTCCCCTTGTTCTCCTTGGTTTGATATTAAAGTTGGACCGGATCCTTTGGTTCCATGAACCTTGTTGTAACAAGTTGGACAGAAGATCTTGCCTGGATAAACTAGTTTATGATAATATAAAAAATGAGTAATATTTATGTAAGAGGGGAAAAGTTGCGTATTATAATTATGGTCAATTGACATAATGTTTAATAAAAATAATGAAACACGTTTGATATTAACGTATCGTTAAATTTTCGATTAGTGATGTTGTGCGAATAAAGAATAATGATTCTGCAACAACAAAAATGATATCCTATTGTAAATCTAACATTATTCCATGCAGAAAAAAATACTTTTATCAAATACAAACAAACTAAGTTTTTCAAAGTCTGTGATTTTTTTCTGCGTGTTTTAAAACAAAAATTTTATTTAATATTGCCTGTGTCGGAATCACAATATGAAACAGAATCAAGAAATCGACCACACTCCACCTCGGCACACCGGAAACAAGCCTTATGGTATACACCATGTGAAGACATTCTTCGTTCAGCCTAAAAGGGACAGCAGACCTAATTTCAAGTTACCCTTAATGTTTGATTTACATCGGTGTTACCATAAAAACCTTTGTGTCATGAGGGAGGCCGGACAGTGTTATTTTTTCTAACTGAAAATTAAGTTCTTTATTTGTATGCAAGCTCTTTAAGTCACAAAAAGAAAAAAATAGAATTAGAATTTTTATAAACCGCTTTGTACATAAAATATTCTGAATCCTAGTTGTAAATGTACACTCAATGTACAACTTGAAGAGCAAAATAAGAATTTATATGTTTTTAAAGGCACGAATCAGCAAATAAGATTGCAAAAGAGATTTTAATATTTTAGATACATGCATGATGTATCTAGTGTTAATCTAATTGACAAATAGATATTGATAGTTAACTTAAAGCCGAATCCAATTGGATACACTTTATTTATTTTCATGCCTTTTATAATCTTTTTTGTTCCATCTTTTAAATTTGCATTAGTATTCTTTTGTTCGAATTTTAGTGAGAATATCATTAATTAGAATTAGTTCAGAGTAATGCTCGAATTTAAATATTTTATGGTGATAAGTTAAAAAATGTTAATATGAATATGTTAAAATACAATTTAGATCAAAAATCTTAGAATAAATTCTTGTAGGTCACATTAACCATGTCCTCTCTTTTGAAAAAACAATTCTTTTGCAGTATAAATTGATACCATCGAAGGTTTATTATTGTATTGATTCTAATTTTGTTTGAGTAAATATTAGATTTTTACTATGTTTTTAACAATTTCTTGGACTTGTTTAAACCATTACAAAACCATATTTCTTTTCGTTATTTATCCTGACGTCTGACGTCTGGTTTCATGTCTGGTTCCCGGAGGGGGGGGGNCCATCAGGGGGGGGGGTGAGGAGGGGTTAAATTACCACCTTCTCTCTATTTTTTTATTGTGATATAAATATATAACATTGATACGTTTTAGAAAAGCCCTTCTTCTCTACTTCAAAAATCTTCCAAAAAAAAGGCAAATTTGCAAAAATCCAAATATTTATTGCAAAATCTAGTTATTAAACAAAAAAATGCGCAAAAATTCAAATTTTGCAGATTGCAACAAATTATACATTTTTGAAAAGCCACTACCCAGTGAATTCAAATGTGCAAAAACATTTGCAAAATTTTCCAAATCTAAATGTGCATTCAAGAATCTGAAAATATGCAAATTCCCTTTAAAGGCGTCTCTGCAAAATTAGGTGCAAAATTTCTTTGCAACAATCTGCTTGCTTTGGTTATAGGCTTTTCAAATAGCTATAAAATATTGAAATCCAATGACTTAGGTCTAAATATAGATTTAGTCTGGTATAGGTAAGATAAGGCATTTAAGCAGTATTTAGGACTCACGCATTAGGTATAAAAGCCAAGTGATGGGCATCAGGCGTGCAACTAGGGGGGGGGGCAAGACGGGCAAGGCCCCCCCCAGCCTTATTAAGGGGCATGCCCGTCCCTTAAGAAGACTTGCCCCCCTGTAGGGGGGGCAAGAAACAAGAAGTCCACCCTGTTTTGCAATTTATCGATTCATGAATCCTGAACCTGAGCAAATTTAAGAGCTCTGATTGTAAAATAAGAAAAAATAATAATTGAATGTTAGTTTATTGAGCTTATAGTTCAATCCATATACTCAGGGGGATGATAGTTCTCTACCTGTGTGCTCAGTTAGCTGTACTGTACACTTACAACGGTTTACTTCGTTTACTATTATTGATATACTATAGGTTAGGCCAGAATAAACTTATAATAAACAAATATGCAGTACGCTCTCGGTATAGTTTATGGCCTATAAAATTAGTAAAGGATTAGCGTACATCATCACTATATACACTATAACCTCGTTGTTTATAGCCTGTAAAATTAGTAAAGGATTAGCGTACATCATCACTCTATACACTATATCCTCGTTAAATATACTGTAGTACAACTATTAGATTAATCCAACATGTTCACCGCAAATATTGTGTGATGTGACATATTAAAAAAATATTTTTTCATGTACAATATGATTTTTTAGTGAAAGGCATTTCTTGTCAGTGTCTGAGTACCAGCTGAGTACACTGGACATATTTGACTTATGGATGAATAATGAATATATATATATATATACATATATATATATATATATAAATGTAAATTGTAAAAATGTTTAGGGGGGGGGACAAAAATATTTCCCTCTTGCCCCCCCCCCCCCAAACTAAAAGTCTAGTTGCGCGCCTGATGGCCATGTGTTATTTAGAAAGTCCGAAAATTTGAGCTTCCTAGCTCAAATACTTGTTGAGTTATCGCAAAAAACCATAGGAGGGGGGGGCAATTTACCCCCCCCCCCCAACCCGGTAAAAATAAGGTTAAATGATTATCTTTAATGGGTACCTGAAATACTTTCCCAAAACATCTGAGGCATCTGTTAATATCTCCCTCAGGGGCCATTATAGTATTAGTTTTACTAGCTCCTAGAGGTCTGTTTACATCGGTTAGAAACCTAAAATGAATTTTGCAATAAACTTTGTTAACAAGGACTTTTTTCTATAAACAAAAGATTATATAAAAAACGTATACTCATTTTTTCGCGAATAGTAAAAAATTTCTAAAAGAATTAATGTATATAATGTTATAAGTATTAAAACCAAAAAAAGAAGTGCAAGTTATTATATCTTCTTATTGTTTTAAAATTTTTATAAAATTTTAAAACAATGAAATTTTTAAAACTAATGATAACTTATAAACTAAAGGGTATTTCAAATTAGTGAATTATAGACCCGAAATTTAATGAAAATTTTTTTGCAATATTTTAGATTTTTTCAAATCACCCACATATCTTATCCAATTAAAGATTTGTTAAAATTTTGACTTATGAGGGAGGAAACGTCAAGATGTTTGACCGATCAGTGCAAGCCGTTTTTTTTAATAAAGCCAAGATATTTGGTATTTTCAAAAACATTCAAATAGAAAATTCTTGTTATTAATTCTTGAATAACTCTCTTCTAAAACTATGCCTTTGAATCCCATTTAGTGGCAAAGTACTAAAGAAAACTAATTATTTTAATGCTCTTAACTAAATTCAAATATTTAGAATTTTTATATTTACACATTCCGTGGCTTCAAATAAGAAAATTAGTTGTCAAGTGTCAATCTGTGTATCATTTCCTGTAATTAGTGGCACAAAATTATGCAAATTAAATTTTTGACATAATTATTTTTCTAAAATATTTCAGAAATTTATGCATAAAATGTCACGTAAAATATACCATGAAGTTATGACAATTTTTGAGATCACGATAATCGCTTTAACAATAGTAATATTTATACTTGTGTTTGTAACAGTTGTAACAATAAGCATCACCATCAGGACCATCCGTTACATTCATAGCATCAAGAAACCTTAATTAATCAGTTAAAATCATCTTACGGATTCTTTTTGGTTTCAAACGCATATAATTCACATAGATTCAGCCTTCTGATAAAAAGTTTCATCAATTTTTAAGACAGGGTCGACTTTGAAGTGTCGCAAAGCTTTGGGCTTTAATTTTAACGCTCTTACTCACTTATGCTTTTCTGTAGTATTTTATATGTACATTTTAGCACTAAAAAAGCACTTATTGCTGGCTTTGACTTATAAGAAGTAATTGGCAAAATTCTCATTGATTTTTGCTGGAGAGCTTGAGACCATAAAAATCAATAAAAAGCTAATTTTGGATTTACTAGTATAGAACTTGACCTGTGACATGCTCTGCATGTAAAGCAAATTGCATGAAATAATTTTCCCATCGTCATTCTTGCCTCTGCCTGATAAACTGGTTCATTACATCGGTAGCAGGTACTACTGGTTTCCGCTATTGAACTTGGAGATTCATGCCTTTATAAACTCAAAGTTAATCGTTTTTGATCCTATCTAAGAGGGTGAAATAAAACTTCTACGAGGATCAGAATAGGCATATTTTAAAGAGTTTAATAGGTACTATACGGAATCTACAGCAACAGAAAAAATAGTACCACAATAATCAAATAGCCAAATTTTTTCTCCAAATGTTAGGGTTTGTTTAGTCAAGATTGAAAAATATCGCCTTTTAACTGTGTAATTTGTTCTACAATTCTTTGTTCTACACCAAATTTGTGATACAAATTAGAGAAAAAAATTTAATTTTAGGTTATTTAGAAATAGGTAAAAAATGTCAACCTTTCTTTCCTGAAAACAAATTTTTTTCTGTCATTACGTTCTTCATCTTTAAAAGAAGACATATGAGATCTGTCTTCTCTTTCTTCCTAAACAATTAAACAATTTAATCAATTGGTTGAGGAAGACGATGCCGGGCTGCCTTAAACAAGTTCCACAAGATTCAACGGAATGAGATAGAACGGATACGGGGCATTGTACTGACGGACAGTCTAACACGTGTGATATTGATATAGACTCATGTTCTGAACCCTCTAGTAATAAGTTATAAGAAATATATATATAATGGAAGTACTTTATGCGTTTTTATTAGAGTCTGACTCACGTCCTCTATATGGTAATATAATTCAATATTTTTTAATTGTATTTAAAAGTAGAAATAAAAATACCACAACAAATAAAAATATATAAAAATAATTTCCTATCAGCAATTTTATTTAGTTCACTTTAATTCTTAAAAACATATTTAACCTCTCAAAAAAACTGATTTCTACCTTTTGATGAGTTTTTATTCAATTCATTAAAAAGAAACATTTATCAGATCTGCATGGAGCATGAAATTTACAAGAAAATTGAGTATGACACAAAGTTTTTGAAAATAATTTTTATTTTAGTAATTTCAAAGTAAAAAATACGTAAGAATTTGAAAAGAAAGGCATCCTCAAATCAAAAAATTTACTAGTTGATACATATTCTGGTACTTTATAATCTTGACCTTTGTTTTTTGGTTCATATCGTCAAGCAACAGTAGACGATAGAAAAACGCATCATTGTTTTCACCTTCTTTTCCAACTTTGATTTCTAAAAAACCTGTTATAAATGGATGTCATAAAAAAATTTTTAAAAATGTTGAAAAATAAAATTAAAAAGAATTATATTTTGAAAAAAAATTAGAATTTTTAAGTCTATAACACTCATGAGTGTCCACAAAAAATTTCAGTCCATTTGGTCCAGCCGTTTGGCCGGCTATAGACAACATATTTATTATTATTATTATTTGTTTTATTATATAGATATAAATCTTATTTTCATTAAATTGCTTTTCATTTGTTTTTTGTATATTTAATAAATAAATAAATTAAAACTATATTTACCTGAGTAAGATTTATCACAACGTGAATCGGTTAGCCAACAAGCTTGCCTGCAATACTTACACAAAACTTCACTCATTTCAGAAGTTCTAAATGTATTTAGTTTTTAAACCATGATAACAACAACCATCAGTTAAAAAAAAATTTCGAATTTTATTAAATACTAGCTGAAGGGCCCGGCGTTGCCCGTGGAAAAGAAACAGTTGAAAAAAAATAAAAAAAATATTTTGAAATAAATAAAACTTTTTAAAAATTTCGCATTTTTTAACCTATGACACCCTCGGCCACCCATGAGTGTCCACAAAAAAAATTCAGCCCAATCGGTCCAGCCGTTTGGCCGGCTATACGCAACATATATATATATATACGAATGTCTTGTTTTATTATATAGATAGATATATATTTTAACATAAACTTGTTGCACATTGCCTTGTGGCGAATTCATAAGAATGAGAACGTTCTAGTGAAGAGGAGCTATTTTAAAGACCTATGAAAACACACGGCGGACAGTGAGGACGCAAATTGAAGACACACCATTGAGGACAAAAATCTGGGACGCAAATTGAGAATGTACAGTTAAAAGTGTCATAAATACAGAGGAGGGCGGCCCAGGATGAGACTTCAGAAACAACTTCACTCTTGGTTCCCTGAAGCAGTAATCTTATTTTGCCAAATCTTTTGAGACACCATCATAAGTTATTTTTTTCAATTAGTTATATTATCGAACGCACAGCTTGGTTGGTACTGTGTAGTGTGTCGGTTAATTCTGCATCCGTCCAAAGGAATTTTTCAACTTAGGGAAGCACTAAATATTTTCTATTTTATTCGAAATTTGATTTTCAACGTTTGGGTTTTACATAAATCCAAGTTTTTCCTAAACATTTTTTTTAGCAAAATATGTTGTAAAGTAGAAAAATGTCTCTGAAACGTCCCTGAATATTCCTAAATTGCTGTACTAGCAGAAAGACTAGGTACGTGACCAGGGTTAAAATAGTCTACAACATCATTGAAAATAGTTACATGAGGCTTACAAATATTTTAATATTTTAAAGCTAAAACATTCAATTTTTGATATAACCCACTGAAGTTGTCCCTCTGCAACGATGTTATTTTAGATGAATGTTTAAAAATCAACAAATTTGATTTCGAATAAATATAATTTTAAATAAATGAAATTTGGGAAAATCTATTTGAATTAAACTTAATTAATTAAATCTTTAAGTTAAGCTTAGTTTAGATGTTCAATTTGTTGACACTAAGCTAGGTTATACTCACAAATACATGCATTTTAAATTCTTCTTGAAAAATTGTTGACAATCGTGTCGTACTCGTGGAATACTTTCCTGTAACTTGTAGAACCAAGGCAATGAATAAAAAAGCTAGTTTGTATCTTTTGTGTGATTTTCTTCTTTTTATGAATTCGTAGCTTTTCTATTCTTAAAATGTTTTTACTAATCTTATTTCATAATCTTGACTTCTACTGTTCGGTTTTTGATTTTCTACATTTTTATTGTTTTTATTGTTCTAGTTTTACTTTGTAGTCTTTTCGTTATTTTTGCTAATTATACAATGCTTTTTAAAAAATATTTTATATTCTCACCCCCCCCCCCCCCTCCTTCAACATCAGAATTGTCGGTCAACCATTCATGTTTCGTAACTCCCTCTACAAAATCTAGTACAATCAGGTTGACCGAGAGAGGGGTTTTGGAATTGCTCCCAGGGTTTTGGAGTTGCTCTTGGGTTTTGGAGTAAAATGTGAAGGGTACTTTAAACCGAAAATTGAAAAAAAATGCTCTGCTATCCTTTTTTACTGTCTTTGTTCAGCTATTTGCAGGGGGAAAAATCGCAAATTTCAGTCCAATTTTTTGGAAAAAAAGTCCAATTTTGGCATAAAAAATCTTTAATTTATATCTGTGGAAAACTATGCTTTTTTCTCAGCCTCAGATATTTCAATAATTTGATGATTTTTGCTATATAAGGCTCTAAATTTGGCATAGAACACTTTTTATTTTGGTGACTTTTGATTAAAATCTCATTTTTAATGGCAATAACTAATTAAATTGAAAAAAATTGGAAACAAGATAACTTTTAAAGATGTTGAGATGTATTAGATCAGCTCAAATGAAATATCTGAACAGATACAGTAAAAAAGGGAGCCCTTTTTTCTATTTTTGGTTTTAAAGTTCTATTTTTAAAGGACTTTTCATAAAAGGTCGGATAAATTTTAAAATTTTACTCCAAAAGCCTGGGAGAAACTCTAGAATCCTGGGAGCACTCCAAAACCCTGGGAGAAATTCCAAGAACCTGAGAGCAGCCACCCCTCCCTCGTTGACCAATAATTTGTTACATTTCTTTCCTCATAAATACTTTTTTCTTTCATAATTTTTTTATTTTTTGTTATTCATTTTTTATTTATTTACTTTATAATTTATTGATTAATTCTGTCTTAGGAATGATAATGATGTAGAAAAACATTGAAATATATTTCCTACTTTGAAGTTGTGCATTCTACAGATAGAGAACACTTTTAACCGATTCGGATTTTCACAGAATGAATGTTTTTACAAAAGAGGTTTCATTTGTTTACCCTTGGACCACTGTTACTTAAACTATCACTTTAAAAATTTGTTGGAAACAATAGAGCTGGCTTCGAGTCGATAAAGTGACCCATGAACACTAAACATGCATTGAAACTTATTAATTTGACTCTGATACTATTTTAAGCCAGTTTAATTTTCTCCAGCCCCCTTAGAGTCTGACTCACGTCCTCTATATGGTAATATAATTCAATATTTTTTAATTGTATTTAAAAGTAGAAATAAAAATACCACAACAAATAAAAATATATAAAAATAATTTCCTATCAGCAATTTTATTTAGTTCACTTTAATTCTTAAAAACATATTTAACCTCTCAAAAAAACTGATTTCTACCTTTTGATGAGTTTTTATTCAATTCATTAAAAAGAAACATTTATCAGATCTGCATGGAGCATGAAATTTACAAGAAAATTGAGTATGACACAAAGTTTTTGAAAATAATTTTTATTTTAGTAATTTCAAAGTAAAAAATACGTAAGAATTTGAAAAGAAAGGCATCCTCAAATCAAAAAATTTACTAGTTGATACATATTCTGGTACTTTATAATCTTGACCTTTGTTTTTTGGTTCATATCGTCAAGCAACAGTAGACGATAGAAAAACGCATCATTGTTTTCACCTTCTTTTCCAACTTTGATTTCTAAAAAACCTGTTATAAATGGATGTCATAAAAAAATTTTTAAAAATGTTGAAAAATAAAATTAAAAAGAATTATATTTTGAAAAAAAATTAGAATTTTTAAGTCTATAACACTCATGAGTGTCCACAAAAAATTTCAGTCCATTTGGTCCAGCCGTTTGGCCGGCTATAGACAACATATTTATTATTATTATTATTTGTTTTATTATATAGATATAAATCTTATTTTCATTAAATTGCTTTTCATTTGTTTTTTGTATATTTAATAAATAAATAAATTAAAACTATATTTACCTGAGTAAGATTTATCACAACGTGAATCGGTTAGCCAACAAGCTTGCCTGCAATACTTACACAAAACTTCACTCATTTCAGAAGTTCTAAATGTATTTAGTTTTTAAACCATGATAACAACAACCATCAGTTAAAAAAAAATTTCGAATTTTATTAAATACTAGCTGAAGGGCCCGGCGTTGCCCGTGGAAAAGAAACAGTTGAAAAAAAATAAAAAAAATATTTTGAAATAAATAAAACTTTTTAAAAATTTCGCATTTTTTAACCTATGACACCCTCGGCCACCCATGAGTGTCCACAAAAAAAATTCAGCCCAATCGGTCCAGCCGTTTGGCCGGCTATACGCAACATATATATATATATACGAATGTCTTGTTTTATTATATAGATAGATATATATTTTAACATAAACTTGTTGCACATTGCCTTGTGGCGAATTCATAAGAATGAGAACGTTCTAGTGAAGAGGAGCTATTTTAAAGACCTATGAAAACACACGGCGGACAGTGAGGACGCAAATTGAAGACACACCATTGAGGACAAAAATCTGGGACGCAAATTGAGAATGTACAGTTAAAAGTGTCATAAATACAGAGGAGGGCGGCCCAGGATGAGACTTCAGAAACAACTTCACTCTTGGTTCCCTGAAGCAGTAATCTTATTTTGCCAAATCTTTTGAGACACCATCATAAGTTATTTTTTTCAATTAGTTATATTATCGAACGCACAGCTTGGTTGGTACTGTGTAGTGTGTCGGTTAATTCTGCATCCGTCCAAAGGAATTTTTCAACTTAGGGAAGCACTAAATATTTTCTATTTTATTCGAAATTTGATTTTCAACGTTTGGGTTTTACATAAATCCAAGTTTTTCCTAAACATTTTTTTTAGCAAAATATGTTGTAAAGTAGAAAAATGTCTCTGAAACGTCCCTGAATATTCCTAAATTGCTGTACTAGCAGAAAGACTAGGTACGTGACCAGGGTTAAAATAGTCTACAACATCATTGAAAATAGTTACATGAGGCTTACAAATATTTTAATATTTTAAAGCTAAAACATTCAATTTTTGATATAACCCACTGAAGTTGTCCCTCTGCAACGATGTTATTTTAGATGAATGTTTAAAAATCAACAAATTTGATTTCGAATAAATATAATTTTAAATAAATGAAATTTGGGAAAATCTATTTGAATTAAACTTAATTAATTAAATCTTTAAGTTAAGCTTAGTTTAGATGTTCAATTTGTTGACACTAAGCTAGGTTATACTCACAAATACATGCATTTTAAATTCTTCTTGAAAAATTGTTGACAATCGTGTCGTACTCGTGGAATACTTTCCTGTAACTTGTAGAACCAAGGCAATGAATAAAAAAGCTAGTTTGTATCTTTTGTGTGATTTTCTTCTTTTTATGAATTCGTAGCTTTTCTATTCTTAAAATGTTTTTACTAATCTTATTTCATAATCTTGACTTCTACTGTTCGGTTTTTGATTTTCTACATTTTTATTGTTTTTATTGTTCTAGTTTTACTTTGTAGTCTTTTCGTTATTTTTGCTAATTATACAATGCTTTTTAAAAAATATTTTATATTCTCACCCCCCC